AGGGGGAGAAGGGGGGCCATGGGAGTCAGGGCCTCCTTCACTTCCTGTGAGGGAGGCGCTGTGAGAAACTCATTCACAGCGATCCTGCTGCCTCATCATCTGCAAGCATTTAGGCTTCCTCAAAGCCCAATTGACTGTGACAGACCATTCTTTGGCCACAGGAGCCCTTAAAAGAGACTAGCAAAGATAAAAAGCACACAGTGCCAAGGACGGCAGAGCCACTGCTTGTAGCAAGATTAGCCGGTGTTGCCAAATCATCAGCACACACAATGTGAGAACCCGGAAGGGACTCAGAACTCATCCGCTATGTCATGGACTATTTTCTACACATTTATAATCCAACATGCAGACTGCATAGGAAAATTTATCATTTATAATCTCAAATAAATGTCGTGCTTGGAATAATTCTATGCAGTCGACCTAGGTGAAGAGGAAATAAGTGAAGTTCCTAATTTACTATACATTTCCTTTTGATTTAAAAATGCCTGTGGGCACCCAAAACACACAAAATCCTAGTAAGCCCTATAAAACAAGACCTATTATATTTTGTATAGGACAGGGTTGAATGTAGTTATACTAAAAATATGCTAGTTCCTAAAAAGGATTGTTAAGTGGGATCCAAACTAATTTAGGTGACACACCACACAGTACTGGTGTGTTAAAATTTTAAACCATTTCTCTAGTGCAACACTAGACTCTACAACATGTCCTTCATAGCCCTAATAAATCATAGCACGTGTTGCTTGATTTTATAATTATTTCCATGCATGATTTTCCTCCCCCAGTAGCTTACGAGCTTGTAAAAAGTAGACCCTACCACCCATGTGCACTGTAGGTTTTCGAAGTACATCTTGGTTTTATTTAATCCTCAGAACTCTGTGAGGTGACCAGAACATAGGTTGCAGTCCTTGATTTTAGATAAGGAAACAGAAAGGGTAAGTGACTTTTCCAAGATTGACAGACGGGATAGGTAAGTGTCGAACACAGATCTCTTAACCCTATCAAAAGTCCACCTTTAACAAAAATATTCATAAAACAATCAAAACAAAACAAAGATGTCTACTCTCAGCAATTCTATTCAAGCAAATCTGTACTTGAGATTCTAGCCAGTGCCGCGTGTGGTGGCGCACGCCTGTAATCCCAGCACTTGGGAGGCTTAGGCAGGAGGATTGTTGCCAGTTCGAGGCCAGCCTGGGCTACAAAGCGAGCTCAAGGCCAGCCTGAACTGCATAGGGAGAGCCTGTCTCAAAAAGACCAGGAAAAAAAAAAAAAAAAAAGACTAGCCAGTGCAATAAAAAGAAAGCTGTCTTTCCGGGTCAGAATGGAATAATTAAACTCTCCGCTTGTACATGACATGATCTTATACGTACAAAATCCTGGGTAATCTATTATTATGAAATTAAAGCTCAAACATGAGTTCAACATGGTTGCAGGATCAATATTTTTAAATCAAATAGATTTTTATCCCCTACCAATAAACAATCTGAAAAGTTCCAATTACAATAGCATAAAAAGAATAAATAAAAGAATAAATTTAGTAAACGAAGCACAAGGTTTGCACCCTGAAAACTATAAAACATCGTTGAAAAAATCAAAGATCAAAATAAATGGAAAAACATTCCACGCTTAAGGATTAAAAGACAATACTGCTGGGCTCCGTGGTACATGCCTGTACTCCCAGCTACTCGGGGCTGAGGAAGGAGGATGGTTTGAGTCCCGGATTTCAGGGTCAGCCTGGGCAACATAGTGAAACTCCACCTCAAAGCGAACAAGGAGATATTATATCACACTGTATAAATATCTATAATTAGTATGTGTCCAAAATTTTTATAAGATTTTTTAAAAGCATTATCATCAGTGAAAAGGCAACCTACAGAATGGGAGAAAATATTTGCAAATCACATGAGTTTCGTAAAAGAGTAAATGATTTCTCTAAGATCAACAAGATAAGTAAATGTTGAACATAGGTCGTTTTACCTCAAAAAATTTTTGAGGTGTATGTTTGCAATACATAGTATGTTCACTGCGGGGGAATTGGTACATATACGCATAGAAACTTCATCCTTTTGCTGTCGGTTCTCCACCCCTCCTCCCATCCGCACATCCCCTTCCCATCTATTCAAAGAAACAACTCTTTGATTCATTGATCTTTTGTATTGTTTTTTAAGTTTCAATTTCATTAATTTCCACTCTGATCTTTATAGTTTCTTTCCTTCTATTAGTTTCAGATTTGTACTGTTCTTGTCTTTCTAGGACCTTGAGCTCATCATTAGATTTAATTTGGGATCACTCTATTCTTTTTATGTGCACATTTACAGTTATAACCTTCCTTCTTAGAACTGCTTTTATTGGGAACACCCGTCTCTAACCCTACCAAAAGCTTACCTTTAACAAAGGTGTCCATAAACAAACAATAAAATCCCTTATATCTGATAAAGGATTTTTAAAAAGATAAAGGATTAATATCCAGAATATATAAAGAACTAAAACTCAAGGATAGCAAAACAAAAACAAGTCAATTTAAAAATAGGAAAGAGATTTGAATTTCTCCATAGATGTACAAATGGCCAATAAACACATGAAAAGATGCTCAACATCACTAGTTATTAGAGAAATGCAAATAAAACTACAATGAAATACTACTTCACAGCCATTACAAAGGCTATTATCAAAACCGTGGGCTGGGGATGTGCCCAGTGTGCTTGAGACCCTGGTTCTATCTGCACCATTAGCTTTGGAGAAAAAGAAAGAGTGAAAGAAGAAAAAAAGAAAGGGGATAGGAAAGAGGGAGGGAGAGAGGAAGGAAGAAAAAGGAAAATGACAAGTTTAACAGTACTAGCCAGAAAAAAAAAAAAAAAAAAAAACAGTACTAGCCAGGATATAGAGATACCAGATTTTCTGACATTGCTGGTGGGAATGTAAAATGGTACAACTGCAGATCTTCAAAAAGCCAAACATACAATTACCATATGACCCAGTAATTCCATTCCTAGATACAGGTAGATACAGGCTAGATACCCTAAAGAATTGAAAGCAGGGACTCACACATGTACACCGATGTTCATAGCAGTACTGTTCATAATAGCCAAAATGAAGAAACTACCCAAATGTCCAACAGATATATGGATAAATAAAATGTGGTATACACACAGTGGAATGTTATTCGGCCTTAAAAAAGAATGAGACTCTGATCCATGCTACAACATGAAATCACCACAGGAATGAAGCATAGACATATGCTAAGTAAGAGAAGTCAGACACAAAAGTTCACATACTGTATGATTCCACCTAACCTGAGGGACCTAGAGTAGTCAAGCCCATGAAGATAGAAAGTAGAACAGAGGCTACCAGGAAGGGACTGGGAGAAGAGGGGAATGGGGGGTAAGATTTAAAGAGCGCAGAGTTTCCTGTTGGAGGATGATGAAAACTTCTGGAAACGGAAAGTGGTAACTGTTGTACAACATTGTGCATGTACTTAATGCCACTGAATGATGCCCTTAAAAAGTCACTATGGTATATTTCATGTATATTTTACCACCAAAATAAATAAATAAAAGGCTGGCGACGTTGCTCAGTGGCCCTGGATTTAATCGGCTGGAACATACACGCACACCCCAAAAAGAGGAAAATCCTGTTAGATACTGGCAATTTCTTATGATTGAGTCTATCAATTACTCTCTAGTTGCAACTCTTAAATCAAGTTCACCGGTAACTCTTCCTCAAACTCTGTGGAGCTACCTAAAATATACTCGCGCACACACACATGCCCTCCCGAGGTATGTCCTACCCCATTGTCCCCTTTCATACTTTCCATTCAGTAAATGGAATAGGAGATGGACAGTTCTGAGTTCAAAGAATAAGTTCAATTCCATGGTGCAATTCACATTAAAATGCATATAGTCTAGACCTTTTTCTTCTGACTTTGTTTTGGTTTCGCTTTTCTAACACCTGTCCTTTAGCTTCATAACTAATTTTTTTTTTAACTTCCTGGTTCTGCCTCATTAGGGCAAAACCTTACTGTATTACATTTCCTCATAAAATTTCCCATTGAATTATCTCCCCTCTTCCCCACCCACAACCCCAGAAATGTTTGGTAGGTATACTCACTGTTTACTAGAACACATTTTTTTTTTTGTGGGAGCGGGGGGGGGGGGGGCACAAAAGGTCTTGCCAGGTAGCCCAGGATGGCTTCAAACCTACTACATAGCCAGGTTGGCCTCACACTCTCAATTCTTTTGCCATAGCCTCCCAAGTGCTGGGATCACAGGTTTGTGCTACCATGCATGGCTTACATCTTAAAGGACAGAATTTCCGGGGTAAGTTGACATCATTTAATTATTTAACAAGTTCAGAGCTGGCTGCACACATGAGTTTAAATGCTTCATACCTGTGGATATATCTTCAAAGTTAATGGCCAAACTAATATAGAAGAGAAGAGAGCCTTGATAATATGCCCCTGAAAGGCTTTATGAGTAAATGGAATGAGGAAAGCTGATAATGACTTACAATTTTAATCCACAAATATGATTAACTGGGAATCTAGGGAAATGGACCCATTTCACCTTGATAACGACAGGCAGAGTAAATAGCTAGGAAGAATGAGGAACAAGTTAAAAGACCACAGTTGAAAATATGCTATTGCTCATGGATATTCAATTAAATCTGAGATAGCAGTGCTGACCAACATGGTTAGAAATTGTTGTGGCTTATGTCTCAATGTCCCCCCAAAGCCTCATGCAGTCACAGGCAGGGCTTTTTCAGAGGTGGCTGGACCTAGAGTATTTGACTGATTCATGGTGCAATGCTAGGATTAAGGGTACTAGGATTAAGGGTATGTGATTACTAAATCAGTCCACTGATTGTTTTGGCACTGTCCTAATCCTGGTAGCCTGGATACAATATAAGGGACAGAAAAAGACTTGTCTTGCCCTTTGCTTGCTTGCTTTGCTACCTTCTGCCTGCCACGAACTGCATCTCCTCTGCCATGTGACCCTGCCTTGGAGCCAGCCGGTTCCGGCCTGAAACCTCTACAAACTGTGAGTTAAATAAACCTTTCCTCCCTGAACTTGTGGGTGTTGGGTGTTTTATCTGAGCAATGAGAAAAGTAACTAAGACAGAGATCATCCTCCCATCTTCCTGTGTGGGAAACTCTGAATTTGACCTGTCCCTAGCCAGGGCATTGGATGCAGAATGCTACGGGGACGCCAGGAGTAGCCTCAGCCTTGAATCTTTCCTGTGTTCTGGAAACAGATAGTTCTAAGGCAAAATTGCCCTTTCGCCTGCCCACGCAAGGGAGACGGGCTACTTGGTCTTAATTGTGGTACACGGGGCTCAGTTGCTAAGCAATACCACTGATACTGCAAGGAGAACATCAAGGACGAGCTGGTTAATGAGCATTATCACGTCAATATTTAGATTCGTACCTGAACAAAAATCTTGAGAACTTGCGGTTCATACAGGAAAGAAACTTGATAGTTATTTTGAATTTGATAATACTCTTTAACATGTACTTGGTATTACAAGTTGTGAAGCTGAACAAATTTTCTAAATTATTCATCAGAAAAAAAATTTAGATCAACCATGATTTTTTTTTTCCTGAATTTCATGTTGTTTTAGTTGGTTCAGCTATTGGAAACTTGTAATTTGTGGTGATTTCTTTTCTCATTTTAATGATTCCCTTTTGTATCTTATTTTGCATTTGTAATTTGGAAGTGTTTTTGTTACAGAATGCTCCCCAGATAGTATGAGCGTCAAGCTTCAAAAAGCCCAGGTTTGCCCCGCTTAAGAGGGATAAGAGCCCAGTATGGAGGTTTACACCTTGAATCCCAGCACTTGAAGGCTGAGGCAGTACAATTCCTGCAAGTTCCAGGCCAGCCTGGACTACATAGTGAGTTCAAGGCCAATGTGAATTACACGACAAGACTCTGTCTGAAAAAACAAAAAACAAAACAAAAAGGAAAGAAAAGAGGGATAAGATAATAGCAGTAAATCAATAATAATAAAAGGCCCAACCATGGTGCCCATAGTGTCAGTGAAGAAAGTCTGTGTCCATTTTCTGTTAGTTTCTCTAGTTAAAAAACAAAATAAAAAAAACACAAAAGAACAAAAATCTCCGGCAATGTTAAAAAGTCAAGAAAAAAACACAAAAGCAAAAAAATATATGTGACAAGATGAAATATTTTTTCTCTTGATTTTTTTTTTTTTTTTTTTTATTTTTTGTTTTTTATAATGGATGAACTGAGCTCATACAGTATGCAGACTTTTGGGGGGGGTTTTTCTCCGGTACCAGGAACCAAACTCACAACCTTGCGCTTGCCAGGCAGGCGCTTTTGCCGCTGAGCTAAATCCCCAGCCCCTTTCTCTTGATTTTTGAAAGGCCCTTGTGGAAGACAAGCCCCTAGAGCCCGGGCATCTGATTGGACAGCTCTGCAGGAAGCCTAGAAGAGCATGGGAAGCAAGGAGCAGAAGGACGAGGGGTCACTCAGCCACCAGACAGGGAGAAGGCGCCTGCTAGGGCCTCCAGAGGTAAGAAGGCTTGGAGAAGCGCAGGAGATGGATGGCTATTTAACCAAAAAGTGGCTTTTCATAATTCTGATACTTGGAGCAGGTACCCTGGATAATGGGATTCCATCATTCGCGTCCTTGGGAAATGACCTCTTCCCCTAGGAATGAACACATTTCCATTGTGAGCTATATGTTAGGCTCGTCTGGATTTGGCTGGCATAGGGTTATCAAGCAGAGACTGGTTGTCTGTGGGTATTAAAGATTTGGGAAAAATGAGATCTGAAAAATGATGGCAGAACCCCACAGCTGACTCCAAGCCAACCTGGCCTCTCTACCCCACTCTACCTGTGACAGGAAGCATCACCTAATATTTCACCCAGTCCATTAGCTGGTGTTAAAGGTATTATTTCACTAATTTTAGAGTTTGGGGATCATTTTGGCTTTAAAATTTTGTTTCGTTTTCTTTGGTTTTTGAGACAGATCTCAATGTGTAGTTCAAGCTGGCTTCACACTCACAGCAATTCTCCTGCCTCAGCTTCCCTAGTGCTCCACCATGCCCAGGCGTGCTCCACCATGCCCAGCCTTTTGCCTTTAAAATTTGAAAGGTTCTATTTATACATTTTATGTAATCTGCCACAGTGCAAAATAATCTGATCCTTTTGTTTTTATTCCCAAGCCCAGTGTTGCTTGTTTTGTCTCAGTTGGAGATATCGCCATCAGTTTGTGGTACCTATTATGCCTCACTCCTGATGCTATGCTAGTTCTAGTAAGCTCCTTACTTCCTAACAGAGGTACAGCTCCCATCTACCCATGTATTTGTCTGGAAGAGTCCAAGATGTCCAGGTCCTACCTACCTAAAGTACAAGTCTCATGATTTAAATGAAGGCAGTCAAATCAACCTGGTTTTCTCAACCTTTTTTGCAGTCAAAACTGTCTTAGAATTTTTTTAAAAATTTGAAAAGGAGCTGGGGATGTAGCTTAGTGCAAAAACCCTGGATTCAATCCCCAGCACAAAACCAAAACAAAACAACAAACTGTACTAGTCACCAAGACCAACCATTCAGTCATTCACAAGTCAAATTCCTATATCACTGTAGCCTGGAACCGGTTCCATCTTGCTGTCTGCAGAAGCACACACTCCTATTATCTTCCTGGCCAGGCTGGAAGTTTTGTAGAAAAAAATGGAGGTGGGGCTTTTTTTAAGGGGAGTGCGGGGAGAGTCTCCATATGCAGTTCAGGTTGGCCTTGAATTCACTTTATAGCCCAAGCTGGTCTCATACTCACATCGATTCTCCTGCTTCAGCCTCTTGACTACTGGGATTACAGGTGGGCACCACCATGCCTGACTTAAATTTTCAATTTACTCTTCCTTTTACCAGAATTTCTTCAAAGTCTATTCTAATCTGGAAATACTTTTACTTATCCCAGAAAAAAGCAAACACGTTTTGTCTTTTTTTTTTTTTTTTTTTTTTTTGAGACAGGGTCTCGCTATGCAGTTCAGGCTGGCCTTGAACTCACTTTGCAGCCCAGGCTGATCTCAAACTCAAGCAATGATCCTCTTGCCTCGGCCTCCTGAGTGCTGGAATTGCAGGCGGGCACCACCATGCCCGGCCAAAAGCAAACACTTTTAAATTTATAAAACTATATGCTCCTTCACTACCAATTTATATACTATAACATCATTCATTTGGATCTCACTAAACTAGAACATGGTACTCTAGACAGCAACTATCTTGAATTTTATTAAGGGGGAAAGGAAAAAATCAGGAGGGGTTATTTAAATCATCATAATTCTCTTAGAAACAAAATTATAGGAGAATCTAGCTCTTAATACTGTTGTGTCAAACATTTGAGGAAAATTCTTTAAAATACTAACCTGTCTGATCTGCCTTAGTATAGTACAGTAAAACCATTTCTCTAAAGCGTCTGGGATGTAAGCTGGGCGTGGTGACTCATGCCTATAATCCCACCACTTGGGAGGCTGAGGTAGGAGGATCGTTGCGAGTTCGAGACCAGCCTGGGCTACAAAGTGAGCTCAAGGCCAGCCTCAACTGCATAGTGAGACCCTGTCTCAAAAAGACAAAAAATAAATTAATAAATAAAGTGTGTGGGGCGAGCATGGTTGTGTCCTGAGGGCTCTGTTTCACAGAAAACTTTCTAGACTCAAGAGTGGTCGTGCCAACAGGCCAAGTTAAAGAGGTGACCTCTCTCTCCCCAGGGGACTCGGCTGCAGACTACTAAAGTTTGAGGTCCACTTCTTTCAGGACTTTTAAGAAGAAATCATCTGCTATGTGTTGCTCTAAAGATATCCTGCAATTCAAACTTCTCACTAATTCAAAGAGACTTTCTTTCTATTGAAATTGGTAAGATTTCTGGTGTGTGTTTATTTATATATGTAATCTAACAATTGCATTTTTGATTGCTAAAAAAAGCAATTCTTTCTTGGCTCTTAAGTATATTTCCCCCTTCCATTCTTTTAGATAAAATTTATTCTTTTTTAGGAAAAAAATGGAAATGGAGATTTGTCAACTATCCTTTCCCTTCTATTTTGGGGTTCATGTCCGGACCTCCTGCTACTTTGGGGGGCTGCCCTGAGTTGCACTGTAGCCACCATGGCTCTGCCCTTGTGTTTGTCACTTTGCAGAAGGTACTACTATTTCTGGTTGCGCTGCTCACTCGCAGTTTGCTTAGGGACTCAGCGGCCTCTTCTAGTCCGTCAAGTCCTTCAACAAACATGGGATTGAATCTGAAAATAGTGATGGGCGATCACTTTTAAACAGGTGCTGTAACTCTGCCAAGCACAGTGACTCACACCTGTAATCCCAGCTCTGGGGAGGCTGAGGCAGGAGGATCTCTGTGAGTTTGAGGTCAGCCTGGGCTACATAGTGGTCCAAGGCCAGCCTAAAATACATAGTGAAACCCCGTCTCAAAACAAAAAATGTCATGGTTATAATTCTGGTGTATTTTCTACTAGTTTCTTAAATTGTATTTATTCTGAAAAATAGTAGGTGTATACACATGTCCTTTTTTTCAAATATTTGTTCACTTGATAGAATATTTAGCAAATGTTAGTACGCTCTTTATGTTCTGTACCCTGCATTTTTTCACTTAAATATCTTACAGAGCATTCCATATCAGCACATTTAGAGCTGTTTTTTTAATCACATAGTATTGCATTGGCTGGCTGCTGCATAATTTGGAGAGCCAGTCCTCTATACTGATGCATATTTGGCATGTTTTTAATAATTTACTATTATAAGAAAATGCTGACTTCCAGTTTCTGGTCCAACATGTAAGGAACAAAAAAGTCATCACTCCCAACCTCACAATAACAAAAGTGCTGAGCAAACTCAAAGTCAACAACTCCTCTTAGATCCATCAGAACATGAGGTTACAGGGCTAACTGCTGCCCCCTAAATTGGAGACACAGGTGAATACAGAAAAATCGCAGCTTACCACAACAGAAGCCTTGAAGTGGAAGCCTGCAGCTAGAGCCAGAACCAGAGTAGGAAACCGAAACTAGGGGCTGGGGATTTAGCTCAGCGGCAAAAGCGCCTGCCTTGCAAGCACAAGGTCGTGAGTTCGGTTCCCGGTACCGGAGAAAAACCAAAAAAAAAAAAAAAAAAAAAGGAAACCGAAACTATAACCGATGAATTGCTGGAGGCTAGTATGGACAAACTTGGGGTAAAACCTCCAACAGTAGGCCAGTTTGAGAGGGGTCCCACAGTTTTATGCATTTTACTCCAGGAACCTACCAGGTTCTCAGAGTGGGGAGTGAGGGGGTCTCCAGCTGCTTCTCGGCAGGGGGTAGAGGAAAAGTAGCCATTTTGAAATATACTAGAGTGTTCCAGATAAAATAAGAGCACACCTGCAAAAGAAACTGTGTGTGTGTGTGGGAGGGGGATTGAACCTATGGCCTTTACATTGAGCTACATCTCCAGTCCTATTTATCCATTTCTGAGACAGAGTCTCACTGTGTCACTAAATTGCCCAGGCTGGGCTCAAACTTACCATCTTCCTGCCTCAGCCTCTCAGAGTGCTGGGATTACAGGTGTACACCACACTTGACAAGGGAAACTATTTTACCAGCACCTAAATACCTCGCATGGTATCAATCTGACCAGCCTAGCAAGGCCCTCTAGCCTTACACACTGGGGAAAGGAATACCCGACCGCAGCCCTCCCTAACTCTATCTAGTCTCATCTAAAGGAGGATGAGGAGGGTGAGAAGCGCTTGTGAAGTCCACCGCCCAGGTAGCTGCTCAGGGTCACTAAAAGCCTAAGCCCTAATTCAGGGAACTATAGAATTCTTCTACTTCCCCACATGCTATCACCCTGTCACTGAAGATCTATTAGCCAGTTTCTTTTACCCAGTGCCTCATATCTACTTTTCAACAAAACATTGAAAGGCATACTAGGGCTGGGGATGTAGCTCAGTGGCACAGCACCTGCCTGGCAAGTGCAAGGGTCTGAGTGCGATTCCTGGTACCAAAACATAAATGAATAAATAAATAAATAAATAAATGGTATACTAAAAAATTTTATTTTGGTTTTTCTCCGGTACCGGGAACCGAACTCATGACCTTGCACTTGCCAGGCAGGCGCTTCTGCCGCTGAGCTAAATCCCCAGCCCCTACTAAAAAATTTTAAAACACAGTTTAAAGAAGTAGAATAAGCATCACAACCAGAATCAGATAAGGCAGAGATACTGGAATGATCAGGCCAGAAATTTAAAACAACTATCATTAATATGGTAAGAAATGTAATGAAAAAAGTAAACACCATGCAAGAACAGAAGGATAATGTAAGCAAAGAACTGGAAACTCTAAGAAAGAATCAAAAGGAAGTGCTAGAAACTAAAAGCACTGTAACAAGGGCTGGGGGTGCAACCTAGGGCACAGCAAGTGCTTAGCAAGGCCCCAAACACTGGACAAACACTAACAGAAATGAAGAGAGTCTTCGCAGCCTGTGCACGGCCAAGGGAAAAAATCAGAAAGCTTGAAGATGTCAGCAGAAACTTTCAAAACGTTAATGCAAAGTTTAAGAATGAAAGGGATGAGGGAGCGATTTTGTTGAAGATAACAATAGATAACATAACGGCCACTGTTAATTAATGTTTTGAAACCCTGTCTCATTTTTATTTTTTTGTTGTTTTGTTTTTGTCTATGTTGTTGTTGTTTCGTTATTTTTTTTATTCTCTTTGAAATAAAAAAATAATGAAAGGGATAAAAGTGTTGAGAAGATCAGAATTTTGAAGACCTGTGGGACAACCACAAAAACTGTCAGTGGGAACAGTAGAAAGAGAGAAAGGAACAGAAGAAATATCTGATGCAACAATGGCTGAGAATTTCCTGGTATTAATGACAGACACTGAATTACAGAGCTAAGCCATTCTGAGAACAGTAAGCAGGGCATGTCACATTCACTGCAGAAAATCGAGACCAAGGGGCTGGGGATTTAGCTCAGCGGCAAAAGCGCCTGCCTGGCAAGCGCAAGGTCGTGAGTTCGGTTCCCGGTACCGGAGAAAAACCAAAAAAAAAAAAAAAAAAAAAAAAGAAAATCGAGACCAAGTCTTGGTAGAAGCCAGTGGGGAAAAGCATCTTAGCAATAGTGGAGTGAGGGAAAGGATTACATACACCAGACTTCTCTTCAGAACGTATGCAAAGGACAGTGTTAAATGACCAAAAACCACCAACCTAGAATTGTGTATCCTGTCAAATTATCCTTCAAATGCAAAGGGGGACATACAGACATTCTCAGGCAAACAAACATGAAGGGAATTTATTGCTGGTAGAACTGCCTTGAAAGAAGTGTTAAAAGAAGTGCTTCAGAAAGAAGGAACATTACATAGGTCAGAAACTCAGGTCAGTGGCTGTGGTCTATAATCCCAGCACGGGGGAGGCTGAGGCAGGAGGATTGTTGAGTTAGAGGCCAGCCTCGGCTACATAGTGAGTTTAAGGCCAGACTGAACTACAGAGCAAGACCTTGTCTCTAAAAAAAAACAAAAACACTCAGGTCTGCTTTAAGAAAGGAAGATTAGACAAAGAATAAAAGAAAGTTAAATCTTTCATTTTTCTTATTCTTAGTTGATCTCACAGCAGTTTGTTCTAAATAATAATAGCAGCAATGTGTGCAGTGACTGTAGTTCACAGACAGCTGAAATGAAGGACGGGAATGGGAGGAAAGAGTTGGGAGTATTTTGTTATTAGGTAGTTGTACTACCTGAAAGTGGTGTAGTGTTATCTGAAAGCAAACTTGCATTAGTTGTAAGTGTATGGGGCAAACTTTAAGGACAACTTTAAAATTTTTTTCTCCTTCTTTTTTAGAGACACTATTTTGCCCATACTGATCTGAATTCCTAGGCTCAAGTGTTCCTCCTGCCTCAGCCTCTGGAGTAGATGGGACAAAGCCACACAGCACTATTCCTGGCTTGAGACAATTTGAAAAGAAAAGAAGTATAACAGATACGTTAAGAGAGAAGAGAAAATGGAATCATATCAAATGCTCAGTTCTCATCAGAGAAGGCAGAAAAGGAGTAAATGACAAAAACAAGAAACAGAACAAGGACCATAAATAGAAAACAGTAAGAAACATGGTAAGTGGTAGACCAACTATATCAATAGTCACCTCAAACACCAATTAAAGCCAGAGGGGTGGGGGTGTAGCCCACTGGTAGAGTAAGTGCTCAATCCCTAGCACTAAAGATAAAACAAAGATAAATGGTCAAGGGATTAAAGCAAGACCCAGCTATCAATCTACTTTAAATCCATTTTTTTTTCTTGAGTCAGGGTCTCACTATGTAGCCTAAGCTGGCCTCAACCTCATGGCGATCCTCCTGCCTCAGCCCTCCGAATACTGGTATTACAGGTCTGTGCCACTATGCCCGGTTCTAAATCCACTCTAAATATAAAGATACAGATTAAGAGTAAAAGGATGGAGCTTTCTCCTTGCTAACCCGGATCATGAGAAACCTGGGGGGTGGGGACATAGGTCAGTGGTAAAACACTTGCACAAAGACCTGGTCAGCGCCCCCCAACAGCTGGAGTAACTATTAATTTCAGACAAAATGCTACAATAAATATCACTGTAGATATACTTTTTTCTTATTTAGAAGATTTCTTTTTCCCCAAATTTCTTTTCGTTTTTCTCTTTATTGAATGAATAAAGTACATAGGGTAATGTGGATAAAATGCACTAAACCGTTTAGCCGCATGGATTTTTCTACGCATACACACATTTTTCACATATTTTAACAATGGTATCAAATCATTTCAGCACGTATCACCTACTAAACATTGTTCTAAGCATTTTACATGTGTTGATTCCTTCCACCCTCATATTAAACCTGTAAGTTAGGTACTGTTATCCCATTTTAGATAAGGAAACTATAGCACAGACCGATTAAGCGGTTGGCCAGTGTCTTGGTTACTTTTCTCTCGTTGCTGAGACAAAATACCCAACGCCCAAAATGAAAGATTTATTTAGCTTACAGTTTGTTGAGGTTTCAGTCCATACTCGGCTGGCTCCGAGGCAGAAGACAGCAAAGCAACAAGAGCAAAGGTGGGAATGGCAGCCGAACAGCGATGCAGCCAGAGCAAAAGGGAGGAATGGCGGCGAGCAGCTTCCTTCCCTCCCTTACATCGTAAACAGGCTACCCCCACCTAAGGGGCGTGTAGTTCTCACATAATCTCCATGCCCTCCTCTTCCACAGGTTCAGGATGTATACAAAGTAAGCACCCTGGCCTCCTGCTGAGTCACTTAGCCAAACCTCTAGACTCTGCAAGTTGACACAATGTATCAACCATAACAGCCAGATTTGTGTGATTAGTAAACTCAGAGACAGAATTCAGATTTAAGCAGTCAAGCTTCAGTGTCTATGTTCTTAGCCTTTCTAGATGATAACTACATATAAAGATAATCATAGAAAGGGTTTCACCCAGAGTGTGATGCACATTATTAAATGCTCAATGTTATCATCATTTTTACTACTCTTGTTATTATGTTTTATTGAATCTGAGGTGCCATCAATTGCAAGATACATCAGTATTTCAAATGCCACTAACAAAGAAAGAAAATGCTGCCAATTATAATATTGAAGATCCTATTGAGTGTTGTAAGATGCATTCCAATTTCAAAGATGTGAGAAAATGTACTTTGTGGGATAGATGAAACTATTTTTGGATATACAGTTTTTCATTTAGTGTCTAATAGCTATTAATAACAAATATGTCTTGAAGGCCCCCAAATTTATACTTTCAGCCTGGATCACTCCTTTGAATGGAAGCTCTGCACACCCAATGGCTTAATATCTCCCCATGGATGTTCACAGGCACCTCAGAAATAACATGCTTCAAACTGAGCTCTCAAAAGCCTACCACCTTGGTATACGTAAGGCAATCCTATTCTTTCAGTTATTCAGGCTGAAAACCTCCGCGTTAACAAATTCTGGTATCTCTCCTTTCCGTGTGAACCCGTAACTGGGCATTTCTCACAACTCTGTCAGTCTCTACTGTGCTGCATCTGTGGCCGAGGTTTCTAGTGCTCACCCGCTCCACTCTTTCTGCGTCCTTCTGGGCAGATATTTCCCAGTCTTCTTTACAGTTGGTTATGCAATGAAATGATAAGCAATGGGATACAACAAATATCATGTGCTACTTTTAGCCTGCTTCTATAAAACTCCCAAGAATACTTTTATCTGCTCGTCTCCCAGTTTGTGGCACTGGAGATGGCTCTGTACCTTACCCCCAAAGACAACCTTCTCAGCTGTGTGTGGAAGATAGTGGAGCCAGTCAGCTTGGGCTTTTCCATGACTGCACGGAAGAGGGCTGCCCTACACATTTGTTCATCTACTCATGTATTAGTCACCCTCCTGTCACTGGGAAAAGATACCCAACACCCGGAAATCAAAGGAGGAGAGGTTTATTTTGGCTCATAGGTTTTAGAGGATTCCGTCCATGGTTGGTTGGCTCCAAGGTGAAAATGGCATGGCAAAAAGGCACAGTGGAGGAAAGGTGCTCACCTCATAGCAACCAGGAAGCAGAGAGAGAAGCCAGCAGCTGGGGACAAGAGTATACCCTTCCAGGTCACATCCCTAGTGATGCACCCCCACTGACCAGGCTGTACTTCCAAACATGAAACTATTGGGGGACATTCTAGATCTAAGCCATAATATTCCACTTCTGGACCTCCAAAGGCTCATGTCCATCTCATTATGTAAAATACATTTAGACTATCTTTAAGTGTTACAATCCTAAAGTCTTAACAGTTCCAGCACTGTTCAAGTTCAAAGTCTCTTCTGAGACTCAAGGTACACTCTTAGCTGTGAACCTCTATAAAACTTAAAAAGTTAGATACTTCCAACATAAAATGGCACAGGGTTAACATTCCCATTCCAAATGGGAGAAATAGGAGATTAGAAAGGAAGGGGACCAAAGCAAGACAGAAACTCAGCAAGGCAAACACTGAATTCTGAAGCTTCATTTCCAACATCCAGGGCCAACCTTGGTGAGAGATATGATCTCTGAAGGGCTTAGGTAGCCCTGCCCATATGACCTTTGCTGGTTGTGACCCACATGGCCTCTCTCTTGGGCTGGCTCCACTTGCTGCCTACAGCTTTCCTGAGCAAACATTCCACATTCCTGGCATCTCTGCTACACATTTGGCTTCATTCTCACAGCTTTACATACTGTCCTCTCAGGGAGCATGCTGCCTGGCTTCCCAGGCCCTACTCTGAAATCTTGGTGGAATTATCCATGACTCCATAACTCTTATATTCTGCATGCCAGTAAAACCAGTACCACATGGGTAATGCTAGGGTCTGCCACCACCTTGAGCAGTAGCCAGACCCTCTTGGACCATGGCTATAGCGGCCTCTGAGTACCTGGATGTCTGAATATGCTGAAGTGAATTCTTAGGAACGAATTCCCTACATGATCCTTCAGCACTAGCATGGAGCCCAGAGGCTCTCTTTTCAAATGAAAAGTCTACACATTTGCACCTTTGAGCCTGTAACAGGTGGGGTCCTGTGGATTCCTCAGATATCTTCAAGCCATATTTCCTATTATGCTGATGCAAAGTACTTGGCTTCTTTTTGTTTGTTTGTTTTGTTTTGTTTTGTTTTTTTCTGGTACTGGGAATCGAACTCATGACTTCGTGCTTGCCTGGCAGGTGCTGTGCCACTGAGCTAAATCCCCAGCCCTTGCTTGGCTTCTTTTTAATGCTAATCTTTTCAGCACCCATGTTTTCTTGGCTCCAACTTTGCAGGTGCTTCCTTTCTGGTGAAACTGCAACCTTTTTACATCTACTTTTGCTCCTGATACTCACAATAGATCTTGCCAAAGGCAGTCAGTAGTATCCATGCCACACTCTAAACATTGAATTGCCTTAAAATTTCCTCCACAAGATTAATTAGTTTGCCACTTTTATATCCAGTCTCTCCCAAAGTCTTAGGACAGGGGAGAAACAGACAAATTCTTTGCCAAAATGAAATGCACATGACCTCCAGTCCAGTTTCCAAAAAAGTCATCATTCCCATCTGAAACCATATGAACCTGTCTTTATTGTCTGCATTTCTATCAGATTGTGGTCTTCTGAGCTCTGACCAGAATTGTCTATCAAGCTCAGCTTATAGTAGTCTAGGGCTATTCTAGCTGGTATCTCTAAGCCTTTCTAAACTCCTCCTGCAGAATAGTTACAAAGGCCTCTAAACCATGCAGTCAGGTACAATCACAGCAAAGGCTCCCCTCCCAGTGCCAGTTTTCTGTATTAGTCAGTCTATCATAGTTTAGACAAAATAACCAACAACCCCAACTTAAAGGAGAGGTTAATTTTGGCTCGTAGCTTTTAGAGGATTCAGTCCATGGTTGGTTGGTTTTAGGAAAGAAACAACATGGCAAATGGGTATGGTGAAGGAAAGGTGCTCACCCCACGGTAGCCAGGAAACACAGGGAAAGGAAGGGTTGGGGACAAAAATACACCCTCATGGGTTATGCTCCCAGTGACCAGTCTACTCTGTCCAGGCCCCACCTCTGTAAGTGAGACTTTTGGAGGGATATTTAATACAACTCAGCACCATAAAATGAGCAACAAATTTTCTGTTGTGCTTGAGCCAGTGGGCAGTGAGAAAACTGATATTGGTGTATAGAAAGATGGAGAGTCATGTTAAAAGGCAGCAAAATTCTTGATTAAAATGTCACCTATGATAAATTGGAAGCCATATCAAATGTCTCCCAAGTCTATAACTTCAGGGGAAAAGGATGGAAAGCACTGTTAGTTATTTGCAAGGTATTACCAGAGCGAGGAAAGCTCAGGCAAGAATGGGCTGGTTCAATAGTAGAGATAAAAGGAAATCAGAGTTGGGGGATTCGCGGATATAGAGTTAGAGGAGTAGACTTTGAGCCAAGCACAGTGGTGCATGTCTGTAATCCCAGCACTTTGGGAAGCTGAGGCAGGAGGACACATAGTAAATTCAAATTCGGCCT